AGAAAGCAGCCTTGCGCTGACATGAGGAATGTCAACACAATGGCACTGTCAGAAGGCGAGCCAAACCGCTCGATCTACAAAGGAAAGGTATCGGCTAAATTCTATGGACACAGCCTCGTTTTTCGTCCCGCTTATCGCGGCGTTGATCGAAATGATTGGGCTGGCAGCCCGAAAGCGAGCGCTGTGGAGCATGCTCTCTGCATTGATCACGCAGCTAAATCCGGAACGAGTATGGTCCTGTCAGCTCCACGATTCAGCTTGTCGATCACCAGCATGCCAATCCGATGCCACAGGTTCAGCTCTTCAGCTCAGCCATTCTGAGGACGCTATGTGGTTTTGACCGCAAGTGAGATGCACCGATCGTCGAGAGGAGCCGTGTTATCAATCCAATTCGGATTCTTAGGGGCTCCACAAGTCATCTCCAAAAGTACCCTTTGGACAGCCTTCATCAGGGGGATCCTGATTCAGCATGACAGCCAACACGCGGCTGCTCTTCCGTTCTTTCCACTACTTAAAGCTGGAGCATTTCTACGATCCGACAATTACTACGACTCGCCCGGGAGAATCCAGTCATAAGTTTTCATAAGTTCCAGACAGCTGCCAGCCAGTTTCTTGCTGTTGCAAGTTAACAAAACTGTTGGTGGATCAGTCGTCTTCAAGCCTTTTAGACGGGTTTAAAGCAAAACGGTCCTCTTGTCCAACTACAATCATGGCCAATCCCGTCAGTGACACTGTGCCGTCAGCCGTCGTCAAACCCACCGGCACCGAGGCCACTAGTTCGGAGGAAAGCCCTTCCGACATGATGAGCCCTGTGGAAATTGCTGTCGACTCGAGCAAAGATGATACACCTGCCGACACAACTGTCGCTCCACCAAACGGGGATGACAACACGACCGAGTCTGAAAAGGAGGAAGAATCATGGGAAGACAAGCTACAGAAAACACCAAAGGTTGTCGACATTAAATGGGTTGATTTCGAACATTTCAAGAACTGCTATTCCCCAAGCGCAGGCTTAGAGATCATCCAAGTCCTACGAGGCCATCCGCAAATCAACCACGAGATAATGAAAGAATATTATGTGCGGCAGAAGTACCAGAGAAAAATGAAAGGCAGGTTGCCCAAGTCGATCGTGGATGCTGAGTCGAGCTGGATTCAGCGCGTTCGGATCCAATCGCCACCGATTCTTCTTCTGCTCTCGCGCTTGAGCGGACATAATGATAACTGGGCAATCAACAAACCGCGGGTATTCTTTCCACCCTTCCGAGCATTCTACTACTACTTACCCCGGATGAAGGAGTGTCTGGGAATTCTTGAGGCAAAGTGGGCCAAACTCGAAGCGCAGGGAGACGGGGATCAAGGAGCTGCTACAAAGGCCGAGGCCAAGACCAAAGCTGAGAGCGAACAAGTAAAGGCGCCAGACGACTTAGACGGCGACACGGATGATGAATCAATTGCTGGTGACGAGGCTGGGTCCGTGGATCCGGAAGAGGCCGTCGCCGGACCAGTTGTGGACTCGGTCACTGGACTCAGACATGTTCGACGATATATCAAATTTGTGGAAGCAGAGATCGTGCCGCTCTGGAACCGCGCTGCCGGCACCAGTCAACGTAAGGTTCGCTTTCTCGACCTCTGGATGTCATTCCAACCCGGCGAGCTCCTCTATGCACCCCCTAGGTCAGAGTTCTCGCAGACGTCGGGGGCAGCCAAGTCTGCCAATGTCAAGATGTACCAAAGTGCCTGGAGACTTTACTCCATGGTGTTATCACCGATCCAGGATGACTACCTTGATGACACGCGAGTCAATCCCAAAAAAGAATTGACACTCTATGGCTATTACATTGACTACAACGGGTCCTCATATGGACCGGTTCGACACAAATTCAAGATCCCGGATTATGCTGGGGAGAGAGACATCACGACCCTCGAAGTCTATCCGATGCGTTTTGCGAAGGATTCTGAGGCGATGATGAAGAGCCTGCGAGACCAGGGATCACAATTCCAAAATTTCGTGAGAGAGAGGCACCTCTACTACGACGGATGGACGCTCGTCCATGGACCAACCGGGGATCCTGACTCGGAGCATCGAATAGCCTCCGAGCACATTGATGGCGATGTAATTATTGACTTCCTCGAGGGATACAAGGCAGAGTCTTCTCTGAGTTCACCATCGTTTGACGGTTTAGACTCATTTGATGACTCTGACTGGCCGGTAGGAGATGATGAGCTTTATATCAGGCATTGGATAAACGGTTCGCGATCCAAACTTCTCGGGGAGATCACGGAGACTACGCAGCGAGGCGAATGGTTCGGCGACTGGCTGACCAAGCGCCGTCTGAAAGAGGACAGATTTCTCGGGGCATGGGAAGCCGGAACTATGCGACAACTCGGTGGAGATGACCTCGCACTCCTGCCACGCCGCGTCATCGCATATGCTTTTCGCGAGCGCAAGTTCGTTATGGTCGACATTTGCGGCCTGAAGAAGAAGGATCCCGCACCTCAGAACGTCTTCAAAGACCTTAAGATTGACCCGGATCACAAGCGCATGGTTAGATCGCTAGTTAAAACGCATTTTGCGAAACAAGAAATCCAGAAACAACGACCCAACGCTGGCTTGAATCAGGACTTGATTCGGGGGAAGGGTTCGGGGTTGGTCATTCTTCTGCATGGTGTTCCTGGTGTGGGCAAAACTGCCACAGCTGAGGCTGTTGCTCAAGCCAACAATAAACCCCTGTTTGTCATTACATGTGGCGATCTTGGTTTTACTCCGAAAGAAGTCGACGCCTCTCTCAAGGATATCTTTCGCCTGGCTCATCTTTGGGACTGTGTTTTGTTACTTGATGAGGCTGATGTCTTCCTGTCTCGCCGAGAGGTGAGCGACCTGAAACGGAATGCTCTCGTCTCAGGTAAGGATCCAATTTGCCGCCATCCATATATCATCATAGAATATGCTGACTTTTCCCTAGTATTTCTTAGAGTCCTCGAATACTACAGCGGCATTCTCTTCCTCACTACAAACCGGGTTGGAACCTTAGATGAGGCCTTTAAATCCCGCATCCACGTCAGCCTCTACTACCCACCGCTAGACAAGGGTCAGACCCTGTCAATATTCGAACTCAACATCCGAAAACTGATTGAAATCCAAGAGGCGAAACAAAAACTGCAAGCTGATGGTGATGCCAGCACCCTTACAGAACCGGAGTTAACAATTAACGGTGAGTCCATCATGGACTATGCAAAATGGCACTACGACACCCATGAGCAGTATGAGAGATGGAATGGTAGACAGATCCGAAACGCATTTCAGATAGCGTACTCTCTTGCACATTACGAAATGGAGAGAAATTCACAGGACCAATGGGACGAGGATGCCGAAGCGAATGTCAAGAAGGCTAGCAACGGTCCCCAGGCAACACGTACATTGGATTATCGGCAGTTCGTTTCTGTCGCCAAGACCATTGAAAGATTCGATGACTACCTCTACGATGCCATCGCCTGTACTGATATGGACAGTGCTAGGGACAATGGCCTTCGAGCAGATGACCACGATCCCAACATGAATCACAGACCTGAATACCGTCCTCAGCTGCCGAGAATTCGGCGTCCGAATTATGCCCCTGCACCTCGTGCCTCACAGCAGAGATACGATCCGCCACGACCCGGTCCACCTCGGCGTGGGTACAGCGGCCAAGGTTTGGCGCAGCGGCCTCGACATCCAGGTGCCCCCCGACCAAAGTATCGACCTCCAGGCGAGGATCCAGATCTACACCCAAAACAGCGGCCAAGGAATCCAGCGATGCCGCAGAAGGAGAATGGCCGGCCTCCACTGCGGCCCCATCCGTCGCAGGTGAAATCCCGTCCTAGGCCGACCAGCATGCGACGCGAGGATGATTACTCGGGATGGAGCACACATGAGATCGGTACTGCCGCAGCCCCAGATGATGCCTATTTCTCGGACGATATGGACGATAGGGATGATGAGTATGTTGATGGTCACGATCAAGATTATGATGATGAGTATGAGAGATATTAGGCTTGTAGAGCCCAGTTCCACTTCTCTTGCCGCGACCACGAAACACATTCCACGTAAAGAGTGACTATATGAGGAGCTTACATAGAACTTTCCGATGAGATATACGATGATCCAGGGTGTACTACCACTACCTTCTAATAGAAACCTCAGCCGTTAATGAAGCTGAGATTTACAAAGACACTTATGCTCTGCATTGTAGGCTTATCTATAAAAGGCTCGATTCTATCCAAGTCTTTATCAGATACCTTATAGTACTATGCTGCAATCCATGGAACTCGTGTCGGATGATACCTCGCACCGGATGACTATGACAAGCCGCTACTACGGTTGAAGCATCCAGGCTCGTCTTTAGAGCTTGCCATTCCGTTTATCTCTTCGAGCTGGATCCTGCCCGCTTGGACAAAGGTCCCCGGTTTCTTGGTACTACTATATATAATGGTATCGTCGATCCCACCCACTCAATCTGTCAGTTTAGTCGATTGACCTATGTCCTAAATATGCTGGTATGAAATCTTCTAGTCCTTCATAGGATACGTGCGGATCTGTTCTACTGATATATACTCGGGATGTTCCCGTATCCTCCTGCAATGTATACCAGTCACCGTGAAATCATATATAGCATCACCTAGCCGTGATCCCCCCTCCGAATTTGCAAAAGACGTCAAAATCACGACTATCATGTCTCAAAATGTTCTATACCAGTCAACTGAGTCACAATGAGCTATACAGAAAGTTCTGTCAACTATAAAGCTCGTCCAGATTCCAGTGGGTTTGCTCAAAAACTTCTCCTTCGACAACCACCTCGTTTACTACTGTTCCACATTCAACTCAACTTTACTACAACAACTTCACCAACACTTCTTTTATTGATACTCATTCTTGATCGAACCTTTACTTCGACTTCTACTTCATCATTCCAACCAGCCAACTACTCAACCTTATTGTCCCTAATCATCACCTACCTACCACCATGCCTTCCTTCTCATCTACCTTCTCCTCTATCTTCAAGTCCTCCAAGAAGAAGAATCCTACCAACAAGAACTCCTCCGACATTGTGGAGATGACATCTACTTCAAAGGCTTCTAATAAGAAGATCACTACTACTGCAGCCAGTAATGGCATGAATATTGACAACGTGAATAACAATACCAACAAGAGCGACAATAAGATCGCCAAAGCCAGCTACAACAACATGAACAATAAGACTTTCAACATGGCCGATAAGAGCCCTAACAACAACTATTACAATAATAAAACCTCCGCCACCACTACTACGAACGCCACCAACAACATAAACAACATCAGCAACGACTACAATAAAACCAATAACAACATCGCCACCAATGATACCGAGCCAGTCGACCTCGGCATACCTCGCAGAGGCCAGTACATTACCCGCGATGGCATCGACGTCGTGGCAGTCCTTGAGACTTGGTAAGTTCAGCTGAACCATCTCGTAAAACAACTGGCTAATATGCAACAGGCATCAAATCTACACCGGATGGCAGATCGTCTCCGCTGAGCTAGAGAGAAAGGAGAAGATGCGCCAACGTCGTCGGTTATGTGAGTATATGAATTCTTACATAGTAGCAGCGTAGTAAGCTAACTGCTGTGCAGAAACGGAGTTACCCGACAACACAGACAGCAATCGGGGAGTTGATTGGATTATCTTATGTATGGGGATGCTATTTATCTAGTGTAGTAGGGATTCCTGTAGGTTTTCGTCCCCATGAGGGTTTTCCTACAGGCTTTTATACCCATCCCGAAGGCAGTATGGTATGTGGTATAGAAGATAGAATTATGATCCTGGAACTAAATATAAATGATTTACCGCCTGTATTCCTCTTTATCTACCAGTAATTTGAGGTGTACCTCTGTATGAGTTGGGTTGTGTTTGTAGTCCTCGATAGATAATTCGTCGATTGAGATTCTCCAACCAGTGTTTCAGTGCTTGTAGGTCACGTATAGAAAGCAGAAAAAGCATTAAGGATACGTTTCTAGTCCTACTATTTCTCTGTTGCCAATTGTAACTTTTGTTCTCAATAAGGTCTTTAACCCTACAGCTTTGCCATCACTTGTCTTGCAGCTAACAGATCAATATGAAGGAGACAGAGTATCTCAGGGTTGTAATAGATCCAACCCTCTATAATGTCACCACCTATATCTTAGAAACCTGAAATAAGGCGCTTATATGTTAATAGTGACAGACCCGCACCGCCAAATGTCTAAGTCATCGACATCACAATAGCGACACATCTGACTCACCAGGAACAGCTTCACCCTGTCATGACATACTATGGCATCATCACAACGGGATCTCCTATTCCTCATTACGAATCTACACTCCTTTCCTCTCCTTCTCTTTACCATTATACTCTATCCCATCAAACCCACTACTTCATCCGCGTCAACTACGAACAAATCCAACCCTCAAAAAACTAAACAACCACCTGAACTCACCTTATACTCCCAACAAAATGAAGTACACAGACGGCCAAGTCACCAACTACTCCTCCCAGATCATCGATCTAGAAGCCAACAAAGATAGCCCATCCACGGAAAACATTCCCTTGTCAACATATACCACTGCACCGACTCAGCCTTGTGACACCCCCTGGCCGGGAACTACTCAGAACCAGACAACTGCTCAGGAGCAAACTAAGGCTCCAGAACCGAGACCTACCCCATCATATGGTAAGAAGCCCTCTTGATGTGGGAGACCTATGCAAGGAGGTTATGCTAACAAGCATCTCAGGACACAGTTCTGGCTGTGGGACCTGCTTCCTGTTCTTCCTCGCTTTTGCATTTGCATTCCTTTTTATTTTTGGGTGTCTCTATTTCGCCTATGTATGTATATACTCTTTTGGTGTGACTGATCAATGAGGTAGTCTTTGTTGCTGATGGTGTGATAGCATAACTATCCTTGGTAAGAAGTAGGAAAGACGATGCGTAGGGGTGACTTTGTGGATGAATGATGATTGGGATGGAACAGACTGAGTGTTTGAGCTGCTTGAGGGGAGGTGGATGACTTGCTGATATGTGTTTGTGATGTTGTTGATTTAGCGAATTTGTCACTTTGGGTTAGTGTTGGATTTGAGTGATTTGCCTTTGGAAGAGTCTTTGCTATATGTTGGTGAGATGTCACTGCGATGTTGATTGTGAGCTGTAAGGAGTATCTGCGAGGGAGATGTGAGACTACTTGAATGATACCCAAGTTACTTGTCAACGACTTCTACATTGACTATTGAAAAAGTAGACTAGTGATGTATAACCACCAGTAAGCAGCATGTCCGTAACAGCACGGTTCAATCCAACCTCACTCCATAATCACATCTCAGCATCCACACCCACAACCTATACCACCTACCACCAAGCCTAGTATCCTCACCTCACTCCCTCCCCAGCCCTACCACCATACCCTATACCCTTCCTCCCCTCCCACTTCCAACACCTACAACCAACCCACCACCACTACCAAACACAACACCACCAACAATGTCCCCCTCAACTCCGCCAACTCCTCCAACCCTCCAACACCTCCTCGCCCGCCTCGCCCTCGCAAAGCGCCTCTTCCTCAAACCGAGACCCAGACGGCGACGCACACAACAAACCACCACCACAAAGAAGAAACCCACAACTACCCCTCCCGCACGCGAATACTCCCTCCGCAAACGCCCTCCACCAGTCACCACCCCAACTACCATTCTCACCTCCTGGCGCGACGAAGACGACAGTACCGACGACGACGACTACGATCCGCGAATCGAGCGAGCGTACTTGAAACGCAAGAAGCCAGTGAAGCGAGCAAAAACATCCTCATCGGAGAACGGGAACTTGAGTCTCATCGTAAAGATCAAGATCAACATGGAGAGTGAGGCCGGGAAGGCTTTCCTGGATAATTTGGGGATGTATCAGGATGATGATAACGATCCGATAATCACTGACGAGGGACTTGGAATTATGGATGATGGAGATGTAGCCATGGGAATGTCATTACCATCATCAGCGTGCAAGCCATGCATCGAGACAGGGCGGCTATGTTCCATAACCAGTACATTTCCCCTGAATGGTCAAGAACCAGACACAGGGATAATGAAGTACCCATGCGAACAATGCATCCAGGCCACTATTATCTGTGAACCCATGTCCACCCAACCCATACCTACACTCCTCAATACCCACACAACAACTCTTCCCGAAATCAACACCCCCATAATCCAAACCATCACAACAATAACCACCTCCCTCACCCACCCCATAACCCTAACCCCAACATCCCAAACCTGCTCCTTCTGCCCCTCCCTCCCCTACAGCCTCTTCGGCCACTACCAACCCCCACGAACAATCTCCGTCTTACCGATCCTGCCCCGGGGGAACAAATTAGGTGATTATATGGAACTACATCCGCAATTATCTACTACTACTACTACTGCAGCAACACGCATATGCGTGACATGTGCATTGGAACGATTGAGGATAATGCTGTGCGGTACACATACCCACACATCATCAACATTATCACCACCAGTACCATCTTCGGAATCTTCTACTACATCAAAATCCATCCCAACACCAACGACCCACAAAATCCTCCCACTCAAGGGCTACGACCCCAATACATTCGATTTCGAGGCCGCGTATACAAACCTCGCTTCATCATCATCATCATCATCATCTCTATCTTCAGCAAGTTCACTACAACCTACTACTACTACTACTACTACTAACCCGTGGTGTTCTCTGTGTCCGCATCCTGCGTTTTATGGATGTGCGAGGTTGCAGAGTAGGGATGTATATCTGGAGGAGATTACTGAGCCTCAGGCGATGGGTATCGGATGTGGGTTGTTGCTTTGTGAGCGGTGTGAGGTGTTGATGCGGATGTATAAGGGCAAGGTGGAGGATGTGGTGAGGAGGAATGAGGAGGATGCGGTGAAGAATTATAGTACTACTGGTGGGAGTGGGATTGGAGGGAGTAGAGCGGATGTGGGGTTTTTGTTAAAGGGGGAGTGGCTTTGGAGGGTGTTTATGGGGGAAGGGGATTGTCTTCTTCGATCTTTTGCTGGGTCTTAGGGGATAGATAGTATTAATGGATGCATCGATCAGTTGTCATTTAAATTAACTTGATTAAGCCAATATCCGTAGATTAAAGAGTTTCAGTTCGCCACGCCTCGCTAATACATAGAAAATTCCAACGCCGTCAGCTGCAGATACAGTCTTCCTGCAGTCGTAACAATGAACTTCGAAAAATTGCACCGAGTCAAGACACCGGCATCGACTCCTGTCCCTCCAGCGGCTTCCGTCGGGGAATTTGCACCCCGTTTCGCAGCTGCTCCAATTTGATCACTCCCGGTCCTGTGCAGATCCGTCCGGTCTGCATCAGATTGCGCAGGCGTTTGCGCCGCGCCTCGCCACTGCGCTCCTCACCACGCCCGACCCCTTCATCTACCCACTCGACTCGCTGCACCTTGAAGCTCATTCCGTCATGCGAGCCCTCCCAGGCTCGCGACTTCAATCCGAACAACACGCTGGAGTCGTATCGCTCCAACCGGGGAAGAATCAACAGCGTAATATGCAGGTCCTTGTCGTTTGGTGGCACTGGCGGCACCCGGGGTCGCTCGCCGTCTTCCGCGCCAACATCTTGCGCCGTTTTAGGTGCATGCTGATACGTGTCCCTGATTTCCAGGTCCAGTAGATCTACATCCACATCCTCACCCCAAGCACCGCGGATGAAGCCAGAGTGGATTGCCGCCGCAACAGGGTCCGAGTCGTCCGTATACACGCCTGTGCCCCAGAGGGCGCGACGCGCGCAGATCTCCTCGCGATGGCTGGTGTCGATGCGGAAACGCGGCACGCGGATTGTAAACGTACAATTCTCCTTGCCTTCAAAGCGAGGCAACGGAAGCGGTGTAGTCGTGTAACCGAACTTGGCACTTTCCAAGGTTGCCTTCTCGGTGGGTGCGCCGATCCGGGGCGCATACAAGGTCGAGCCTAGGTGGTGTCGAGGCAGATGGGCGACGCTCGACAGGAGTGGTTCGATAGTAACCACTGTGCGAGGCTCGCGCATAGGTGTGACAGCCGTATTCCCGGCCGGTCGGGGAGCATGATGGTGGTGATGATGGTGATGGTGGTGGTGATGTCCAAGGGCCTGCGCTGCGGCGGATGCGCTGCCTTCCCCGGGGGTGGCCGTTCGATGGAAGAAATTTACCGAAGACAGGGGACGGCTAGAGCCAAGAGCGGCGGCAGCAGCAGCAGCGGCAGCTTCTTCTTCTGGCTTATGGCGATGATGATGATGGCTGTGCACATTAGCATGGGTACTACAAACATGAAGAATAGGGAATAACGTACTGATGATGGTGGTGATGGAGATGCCTGCTCCGTCGACCGCGGGCACCCAGGGCGGCCGCCTCGCTCTCGGCGCGACCATCCTCGTCGCGCGACTTCCGCGATCGCTTCCCATTCGCTGAGCTAGGCCGAGCAATCTTGGGATCATCTGTCTCCCCATTGCTGGACCGACCAGCCGCACTGTCGCGTTTGAACGGGCTCGGAGCCATGGGAGTCGAAGGACCACTGCCACCAGTGGTAGCAGTGACCCCTCCCACACCACTTCCAATCCCGGAGAAAACTCGGCCAAGCTCATTCTTAATTCCGGCCTCACCCGCGGGACCCAGGATCTGAGCCTGGGCACCCTGCACCGCCTGGGGCAGCGGCGATGCGCGCCCCCCTCGCTTCGCATCTAATCCCACCCCGAGAAGGTTACGATGCGCCATGAGTTCATCACTTCCTTTGCGTCTCTGGTCATCCGACGACGCGGAGTGAACGGCCGAGGGCGGGCCAGCGGACGATGTGGGCGGAAAGGCGCGAGTCTCAGTCTGCAGCTTGCTGAGGTATGGCGGCTGATCGTGTGACGGAGGAGGCGGCTGATTGGGAGGGGGATGGACGGAAAGCGAGGGCTGTCGCGACCCTCCGAGCTGGGAGCCCAAGGACTTGGTGTAGCTCTGAATAGCACCAAATCCAAAACCGGCGCCCGCCTCCGGGACAGAAAACCGTTTCGTCTCAGGCGACGGGGGCTGGGACCGGCCCAAGTCCCAGGCAGACGCGCCTTGTTGGCGATGCGCTGCAGCCTCCCGGTCCCCGTAAGGCGGCCCGTACCGCGATGGAGGGTGAGACGCGGCCTTGGTTTCAGCCTCGTGTGCCATCGCACGTTCTCGTTCACGATGGGCCTGTTCCTCCGCGTGTCGATCCGCATACAGGCCTCCGTACCGGTGATGCTGGGCCTCATGGCCCATATATGATGCCGCTCGCTGATGCGAACCGGCAAATGGACCCTCTCCGGGCCCGGCCACGGCAGCAGGCCGTGACAGCGGACTATATCCAGTGGTGCGAGGCGGCGGTTCGAGGTGCTGCGGCTGGCTGTTGGGACGAGGAGCGGGTCCGCTGAAACTTAAGCGGCGTGGTTCGTTATACGGGGCTTCGGCGGACGATATTTGGGGCGAGGGATGGGTGGAGCTGGGCTTGTCGGGATACTGTGACGATGGCGGGCCGCGGGACAGGCCACCGAATTTCGCCTGTTCTGTCATGGGCTGGGGAACACCGCCGGAGCCGGATCGGTATGGACGTGACGGCTGGTTCTTCGCAAAGGTCTTTTCGGGGGTCTGGGAGCGTCTGAAACCTGGGTATTCGAGCGGAGACGGACGCGCTGGCGCGGTCGGCGGGGACATGGCACCGGGGGCCGACGGTGGGTGGGCGTTCCCATACGGGGCGGACGAGACTGGAAGACGCGAAAAGATGGACGAAGAGCCTACATCCCGGCCTGGTCGGTCAGCGTCCGAGCCTAGCATGGACGATATCGACATGCTGCTCCCTGGACGGTGATGAGCCGGGTTGCTGGGAGGCTCACGCGACAAGAAGGGAGTGGACAGGGACGGAGCAT